CGCTGCACACCACGCTCTGCACCGCCAGCCGCAGCCTTCTCGTCATCAAGGCCGGTGACCAAATCACGAAGGCCGTCAAAGAAAGAGGGGAAGATGCAAAGCGTTTGCCTGGCAGGCAAGCCGTTCTTGACTTGACTCGCTGTGGTGCCCAGATAGGCATATGTACACTTTCGGGTCACTTGCATTGGTGGAATGGCTTACTTCAAGTTTGCGCTGCTGACTTCCCTGGTTTGGACAGCACTCGCAAGGGGCTGTTGCGACCGACGCGACAAGCCAGCGTCGCCTTAAAAACACGAGACTGCCAACTGGAACTCCTTGCCAGTGTTTGCACGGAAAGCAATTGCAAGCTTGGCCCCTTTGATTTCATTTTTTGACCCAGCGGGAGGTTCGCGAGCGCTTCACCATGGCCTTGCTGCTTCTGGGCTTCTTTAAGCCCAGCGGGGCATATGACAAGAAACGCCGCCTTGTGGCGGAGGCAGGACGCCTCAAATGAGAACGGAAGCCGATGACAGTTCGTTGAAGGTGATTAGAGCAGTGTTGCTGGAGTAGAGGCAACGACAACAAGTGACCAACAAGCAAAACCTGGGGAGAGAATTGGGGACTGTCCCAACCACAAATAGGTTCTCGGCCGTTCAGGTTTTGATTGTGATTCCTGTGAGCTCCTAGCGTTAGTGTGAAACCGAGCCGATAAAGCTCCCATCAAGACCGGCCCATGGAAAAATCACTCTCAGTGGTGCGGAGCAGGTCCTGGCTGGCGGCAACGAGAGACAAACTAACCTCTTGAGCCCACCTTCTACGAGGCCTGAGACAGGCCGTCGGGAGAAGGACTGGAAGGGTGGTTGGAGCGGAGGCGATTGGGGGTTCACGCCTCAGCGCAGCAGTCGAGACAAGGCTAGGAGATGGGACGGCAGCGCGTCCATGAGCAACTTCCGGTCGTAAGTGGGTCTCATCTCGTACGCTCTCTGGCAGCAGTCAAGACTTGAGCGGGGTCTGAGCCGGGCGGCAGTCAACATGGTGAGCAAGAACTGCACCGTGGAGGACTTTGTGGTGATGTCGGCAAGTGACGCGGTCTATGCTGCACAGCCACGAGGGGGAATTCAAGGAGGAGGGGTGTGCAGCAACTCAGATGCAGCCCTGGAAGCACTACTTGGTGATCGATGCCAGGTCATGATCGATGCGGCTGTTGAGAGCGGCACTGATGGAAGAGAGAGCGCCAACAACCTTGAGATGGTGAGCGACTCCCTCACAAAGTGGAGCAGCAGCGTCGGAGGGGCAGTGGCAGCTCACGGGCTGGCCGGAGAGGCAGAAACTGACGCAGGAGGCAGCGCCAAGAAAGCGCATGTACAATCAAAAGAAGCGGTCGCTTTCACCAAAGGGGGCTCGTGTGAACTGAGCCGATAAGCGGCCGTTGCAGCACGCTCACATCAAGACCGGCCCCTGGAACAGTGCGGCGCCGGGCACTTGCCGATGGCTGAGAAGTCGGAGACACAGCTCTGACGCCTAAGGGCAAGTCAAATTCCTGGACCTTCGGGCCTTCCCTATGTTTCGCGTGACCGCATTAAGTTGCCCAGCAACGTGGGCTCTCAGGTGGATGCGCGCGAATGATAGCTTGGCCGTTTAGGGGGCATTCGCAACAAGTCGAAGCAACAAGCAAAGATCCACGCAAAGTGCGTTGATACGGCGAACAAAACCTGGAAACCACCCCAACCGGGCATTTGGGGGCATCCCTATTTTAGGGTTCTCCCTCACGAGACTTCAAAAATCGCGCCTCGCGCGAGGACATCTCAGTAGACGGCAAACAGCGGAAGCTCTGGATCTTCGGCCTGGCGTCGAACTTCCGGCGAAAGTTTGAGGCGGGCGTGTCTGCCATGATCGAAACTCCCAAAGTGTGCGCAATGATCCTGTCCCTTGCAAGTAACCATTGCAACGGCGGTCTGAAGAAGTTTCCTACCAAAGGGTCATGACCGTTGAAGGGTGTTTTGACCGTGGCGCATGAAATGAGGCTCGCGACGCACGATCCATAGGCTAAGCCCAAAAACATTCAACTCGATTTAGGTAGAAAAGACATCGCGTCAACTAACACGCGAGCTTGAATGAAACAGGGCTGGCGGCCGAGGCTGGGCTTGGAAACGACAGCAGGGAGAGCGTTCAACACCCTTTAAGCATTGTAGTGTTTCCTCCAAACGCGCAAAGGATCAGCGAGCAGGTTTTCCATTTGCTGTCAGAATGTAGATTGGGAAAACTAGAGGCAGTCATGATGCAACCGACCAACCTGAAGCAAACTCAACGTTGCAGATTCCATTACATTGTCGGATTTCGAGAGGCTTGCCGTAGCCGCTCACGATCAGGCGAGTACTGGTGATTCTTGAAGGCTTCAACACGAGTTCTCTTTATTTCTTTGTTCTTCTTTCATTTCTGTAACTACTGTCCATGGTACCATGATTGACCAGTCGTTGCTCCTTTCGCAAGTCAGAGGCATCCTCTGACTACCGGCTCTGTCTTTGTCGGGACCGCTTTCAGCTGTACGCTTGCAAGTCCAAGGACGGACGGAACTCGCAGATGATGAGCCCTGTACTGATGGAACGGATGGGCATGCAAGGTTCTTGACCTAGGATAGAAGGAATCCTAGGAGGCATCGGCTTACCATGTTTGACGCCGACGTCGGCCGTGTCAAGAATTCTGTCATGTCAATCTGTTTAGTGCAGCATCATCAAAGAGGTCCTGAATTGTTGTCTTTTGCCAGTTTGGTTAAGACAGTAACATTTTGCTCTTTGCCTGCAACCAAGAGGAAGCTGTCCACCTGGTTGTTTTTTCGTTTTGAGAAGCACCCTCATCATGCTCATACATTCCATGGTCCATGAGCCAGAAAAGAAGCGGCTCCCTATAACCAAGCTGTCGCACCACTTCAGCTCGCCAGGAGCATGAGCTCACGAGCCAGGCAGTTGGGGGTAGCACCTTCGTGTACATCGGAGCAGAGCCTTTGGAAGCCAGCGGCAAGGGTGCAAAGGGCGGAAAAGGCGGAAAGGACAAGGTGAAGCTCGGATGAAATTTTAGCTAGGCAGTAGAGTGTAGATGTCTAGCGTGAGCTGTGAACTCTACGGAGTTTTCAGCGCGTGTGTGTGTGTGTGTGTGTTGCCTAATCCTGCGGCAATGCGCTTTGTCGCTCCTTGCTCAAAGTTTCTTGCAGGGCCTGTTGAGCGCAGGGATGTTGGCAGATCTGGACGCGGGAGGATACAACCTTGTTTGGTTTGTTTGAGCCCCTGGATTCCCTGGTTGGTTTTCAAAGCCCATTACGTCATAGTAGCCTTTGTGTTTTTTGCCGTTTCAGTGAAGCTTTGATGGCTGCTTCGTGCTCAGGAGAGCTCCGGTGTCCGAGCCCCACACAGTCATGTCAGTGGCTCTTCAGAATCTTGATCGCCGCGGTCAGGAGGGCTGATGGGCACAGCGCAGCGTCAAACCTAATCCGTTGCCCCTATCAATATGCAGTGTGTCGCAACATATCCTGCCCAAACAATTCCTCCTCGAGCCCTCTCAATGTTGAATCGCAAATCTCCAAAACTGCTCCCAGTGGACAAAGACCGAAGTGGAAACGCTTGGACCCCCTTACTGCATCAAATGACATGTTCTCCTCAAGGATGTCTATCGCTTGAGAGAGGGATATTTTCTCTTTTGCCATGCAGATTGGAAGCCAAGCGTCTTTGAGGCGTTTCCAATCGACGGAGCTGCCAGTAGAAGCATTCGTCAATGCTGCCGAATTTGACCCAGTGCATGGGTCATCCAAGGTTTCAATTTCTTGTGGCTGTTGTGTCCTTGCTCCACACTTGATTCCAACTTCATGTGAGCGAGTTCACCCTGTGGCAGGACTTTTTCGGCGGCCGCGTCAACAAGCTACGCTGTTTGGCATGGGCGACACAGCTCAAAAGTGGGCTGAAGGGACATGTGTGCATGTTCGGGGTGGCCAAAGGTCCTAATCCGGATGGTTAGGTTGTATGGCCACGCGTCAGAGCCCAATTCCTGCAGTTGCCGATTTCCAATGTTTCAGAAATCTCACACCTGTCACCCTTTTGAGACCGTACTGCAATGCGCACTTTCACAGGCCTGCCGGAAAAGCTGTCCTTCTGGGAGGTGTTTGAAACAACAATGCTGTTTGAACGCTATGCTGCATGGAGCTTGGCCCCCGCCACTCGTGCACGCTCATGTCCACGAGTCCTGACAACACGTATACCCTTGTAATAGAATGATGCTCTAGTCAAAAGCACATGGCACAAGTGCGGTCTCCTGCGTGGATGGCTTTTTGTTGCCCTTATCACAAAGTCCTTTGCTGACTTACCTATTGAGGCTGAACACGCAGCACCAGACAAATTAGTTCTGTCCTTGGTTTCGGGGGGCAGGGGCTCAAAAGAAAGCAAATCGGCCCTGTTGTGTTTCTCGTCATTTTCCCCATCAGAAACTCAGGAGCTGTACACCGAGCCCTCAGACAGAGGAGGTGCACCTGAAAAACCTGGGCAGCTGCTGTGGGCGATCTATTTGGGCAAGGCGCGAGTGCCTTCAAAACTTTGTGAGAGGCATTGCGAAACGTCCTATTCGGTTTTGAACCCCTTTAGGAGTGAAAATGAACAAGTCCAGACGAGAAAGCATTACTTTGCATTTTAAGTAACTGCCTTCTCTGGCTAGTTTGCCCCATCAGTGCTGCTGGCCACTCGGAGCCTTGGACATGTGATTACCCTTACACTCTACACCGCACAGTGGGCAGGCTGACGAAACGCCGATCTCAACTGACACGCACGCAAACGATGACACTGTTGCAAATTGCATGTGCACGCTCCTGCTCACATGTGGCCTTTCTAGCTATGGTTCCCAATCCACACAGCCTTGGGGCTCGACGTCATCATCGAACTCAGATTGCGGCAGCGCATGATGGTGATCCAAACAAGTCTGTGCACACGGTATGTATCGCAATTCTGTCTTACGCAAACTTTAAAAATTGCACCCCCTTCCAGTTGCTTGCAAAGCCTGATTCCAGGTAAGACGGATCAGAACGTCTAGTCAGCACAACAGGAAGAGGAACACATAATCTCTGTAACTCCATCTGCACGTCAATCAGAGGCTTGAGAGTTGTACCATTGTCCGCTGTTGTCCAGGAGAGGTGGTTGCTGGCGGGGATCTGACACCAAGGGTGGGAAAGGCTCACGGCCGCAGTGCCAGATGCATGTTCTCAAGTTTGAGAGTCGCAGTGGACTAAACCTTCAAGCTATTCGCCCTTAAGACTTCAGGAATTGCAGCGTGGCAAGGCAGGAAACATCGGTGCCCGCGATGTCAATCTCACGTTTGCTTATGTGCATGCTGATTTCTCAGGTTCTCCCTAGAATTCGTGACCCCAGGTGCCACGTGTGCTGGCGTTTGGCTGTGAATCAAAGTGATTGCTCTCACCAACAAACAGGGACGTGGACAGACCCTTTTTGGAAGACTACTTCCCCTTTTGGAAGGGGGCGCGCGCCGAGCCATTTTGGGAGGATGAGCTCCGGGCTCCCGTCAGGCGCCTCCCAGGCTGGAGCTTGATGACCCCAACGCCTTCGAGTCGGACCTGCGCTGGCTTCAGGAGCTCTACTCAGAGCTGCTTTGGCCAAAGAGAGGGTGTGGTGGTTGCCAGTGCGTGTGGTTTCCGAAGAAATGTGTCCGTCTCATTAGGGCTTGACCCTCTTTGTGGGGAATGGTAACCAAAAGGAAGCCTGACCCATCTTTAGCATCCCCTATGGAGTCCTAGACACGTCCTTCACAGAAGTCTGGTGTGCTTTGTGGCTGGTGTTTGCCAGGAGACGTAGGTTTGGCGCCTCTTTTTGGGAGGAGAAGCTGGCCCGCAAGCAACACTTGCTCAAAACATTGCGGGAAACTGAGTGTCTTGCCGACAGAAGTTTGAGTTCTGGTCGGTACGGGCTTGGGAATCTTCAGGCTGATTGCAAAGCTGCTTGAGAAGGCGAGATGTCGTTTCTTGCCAGGTTCATTAAGATCATAAGCAAAACTTGAACAAATAATAAGGAGGAGGGAACGGTGAATTCGGCGGGAAGGATCCGAGTTGCAGGAGACGAAGGATCATGTAGCGAGAATCGGAACCCAACCAATCGCGAATTGTGCGAGAAGAGCCTGCGTGGCCACGTCAGCACTCTGGACCAAGGGCTGAGGCCTTTCCTTTGCCTTGCGCGCCTCACGGTCTCGGTCACTCTAAATCACCTGCAGTCAATCTAGCCCCCAATCCTGAGCAGCTTGTTGCGGGCTGCAGTTCAATTTTGCAGGAGGATGCCCGCATGTGTCTTTGCGCTTCCTGTGTGCGGGCACGAGGCCTGAGGAGCAGGAGCCGGTGTATGCCACTTCCTCGCCGGTGATCGCCTTGGAACAGCTCAGCGCCGCTGCAGCGGCTGGCGGGCTGGGGGTCAAGGCCAGAAGCAATTTGAGCGCCCAAAGACTAGGGGCAGGCAAAGCGGGTTGTGTTTTGCCCTCTCGTATACTTGGGTGTTTCTCAAAATTGGGGACTCGTTTTGCATGGACGTGAGAAGGGAAACTGAAGGGAGTCCAACCACCTGGCAAGGTCGATTATTTTGAGACATACATGCCCGCTTCGTGTTTCGCAAACGTTCGGTTGAGTGAGAAGGTGCCCCAAACAGCTTTTGGCAGGGCCGACTCCTTGTGATTCCGTGCTCGTGGTTCAAGTTATCACGCACGAGTCCGCCCAATATGGCCTGTGGTCTCACAGATGAAGCGGCCCGAATGTTGAGGGTAGATCTAAAGTCAATCCCCACCAACCTTTTGGAAGCGGATGGGAAGCGGATGGGAAGCCCTTTTCGTGCAAACATCCAATTCACAGTGCCATTCTGTGACTGAGCACTCGGCAAATTTGTCTTGACGTTCCGTTTAAACACCAACACTGGACAGCCCTCGCACAGGTTTGCGATGGGAAGATGAGGATGCAAGGGCCAACATAATGTACACTTTAAAGTTTTGTGGGTTTATCTTTCTTTGGTGGTGCCCTTTTTGGGGGTTGGTTCAACGGGAAATGCAAGGGAAAGCAACCATTTTTGGGGTCCCCTATTTGACACACCCATATGTCGTCTTGGAAACAGCCCTGCGCTTGCTGAGTGTGCGAGCTGCAACCTTGGTCTGCTGGATGTGTTTTCTTGGTTTCCAGGGTTGAGTTCTTCAAACCAAATCCAATGTGAAGGATGTAAACACATCTGCTTGCTTTGATGTGCACTGCCACCAGTTCACTCAACACTACCACAGCCATGGCAAACTGCAAACTGCAGTGAGTTGTGGCAGCCAAATGAATCTAAAGGCACCTCTGGTCAATGCGGACACAGTGACTGTCCATGCCATGGGCTACATTGTTCCTTGCTGCCGGAGGTGCTTTACAAAGCCATTTGCCAAGAGGAAAGGACTGGCGATGTGCAACTCGGCATGCAGTCTATGGCCCTGCTTGCTAAACGGAGTGGTCCGTGGCGCGAGCCG